AAGAGACGACAACAAATGCGAAATAAATGACGGCATTAATTAAATTATCTTCGCGCATCTAAAAAATTATCTTTCTCGAAATTAATTGAGCAAAAGCGTAACTCGGTGCCGGTATTCGCGCGATGACTGTTTATCATTTAGATAAATAACTCGCACGGTGTGCATTAATGAAAAAAAAAAAAAAAAAAAAAAAAAACATTAATCGGCCCGCAAAATATTACGTTACCGTTATCCGAACGAGGATCTAGACCAACCTTACGTATCGTGTTTACCAGGTCTATTTTCTGTCTCTCTCCTCCCGACTGCACTTTATTTACCTGTCTATCGACCCGTCTACGGGTCTCCATTTACACGTCATTATCTAATATGACTTCATTTGCGATGTCATCAAGAATATAATACCCGGCGAAACACCCGCGTTCGTGATCGAACTTGCGTAATTTAGCGGCGTGATTGCGACAACGGAACGTGTGTGTAATTAAGGCCGACGAGCGCTTCGCGAAAGTGACCGCGACTGCATGCATATCCACCGAATTACTAATCGCGAGAGGTGTTCGTTCTCAAGCTCCTACGAGTTATATCCTCCTTACTACGTTTCCTCGCATTTCACCCTCCGCAACACTCCGTTCCGTCCGGCTAAATATGCCTGTCCATCCTCTATTTACACTGCGCCGTTCTCGCGTACGAAATTTAGCGACGAGCTGTCAAGCTTAGCGATTCCTGCGTTACGTAGATGCTTGTATGCGCAACATGTGCATTACTACGATTCTCTAGTCCTGACATCGGTGACCCCGGTTTTTCGACGCGTTTATTAAAACTAATTAAAATCAAAATTCTGAGAAAACTGAGATAGGCGAGATGCTAAAATTCCTTCGACAGTGTCCTGTTCACTAGTGAATTAAGTGAAACTTGAAACGCCGATGATCCCCGCGCGATTTTCGCGGGACCAACAATAATCCAGTCGAGAATAGCTCGCTCGAGGATTTCGTCTGAGGTCAGGATGGCCTCCCCGTCGTCCGAGAGCTCGAGGGGCGCTCGACGGCGCACCACCGGTCTGCCGACGCGGGTTCGCGTCCACGCGAGCCAGGAGAACGGCATCGGCGGCGAGGATGGACGCGACGACTCCGGCCTCTCCTCCGAGAGCTCGACGCCCACGAACGGATCGCCGCCGCCGCGGCAGCCCAAGACGCCGTGCGGTGGCCAGGTCTCCTCCTGCTCTGGCGGCGTCGTCGGCGCGATCTCCGCTTCCTCCGCAGCAGTCTCACGAGCCAAGAATAGTCCCGGAAGGTAGTGAATCCCTCGTCTCACCGGGGGAAATGAAGCCACTATCAGATATTTCCGAGTAGCGTATATAGGGAGAGATGTGAGATATATAACAGGAGATTAGATGCTGCGCATTTATTGTTGTATTTTGGATGGGGATTGTCGTGATTTTTTTTCGACGAGAATTATGGATAATGCGCGATTACGTTGCTTTCTTGAATCTCTGTTGAATTTACATTTATTTTCGGGAGCCACACCATTTTCTGCTTACTATTTGTATTATAATTTAATTTGTGTATAATCTGTCTTTATACTGTATTTATATCTCAATATGTGCATGATGAATTATTTTATTCTATTCCATTTTGTTTTAGAGAATGAAAAGAATACTTTTAGAATGCTGAAAAAAAATGCTAATCGCATAATCCTCTTCGAGAATATAGATATATCCGCCTGTCGATACGAGAGATAATGAGTTTCACTCTTTTTGTTTCAGAATTGGAAGTGACAGGATGTCAAGGCTGTTACGCAGTAGATCCGGAACAGAGTCACCGCGTTCATTAGACAACATGTGCAATCGTCAAGTTTCTAGTCCTATGAGAACGTCGGGAAGTGTAAGTTGCAATCTGTCTTTTATTTTTTCATTCTCAGAGATGTAATTTTCAATTTGTCGCGCTCACGCAATGTCTCGTTGATCCGTAGGTTTCATCCTCGTGCGTCGATTCCGGGGACGAGTCGAGCCTCAGGATAGATCGCGGAACGTACCAGTACATGTTCCAGGACATTGTCTCCATCAAGACGATGCTTCTGAAACTCAAGCGAGTCCTTCAGGAGGTACATAATAATAAACGCACACCGTTGCTCGCTTGCATTTCACGTTTGCACATCGCTTTCTTTCTTTTTTCTTTTTTTTTTTTTTGCCTCTTGCAAAAATGTGTTTCACGCGTTTTGTTCGGCGCCGAAGCGTTACAGTTCGTCTTACACATTATCCGACCGCAAGCGTTATTCCGTTACTTGTACACACGATGCGCTGTATTTTTCGTCTTTTTTTATTAACACGATTCTTTTTATTTTTCATTTTTGTCGTCCTTCCTGATTTTACGTCTCAAGTCAGGGGAGAACGATTTGACGAGGGTACGTTGCATTGATTTTCTTTACTTTATTGTCACTAATTTATATCACCTCACTCGCATGCGTGTGTGTGTATGTGTAATATATATA